AGTACTTAACCTGGGGTACCACTGTATATGATAACATCCTGGCAGTCCATAGGGTATTTTCACACATACCTTTGAAAATCTCTTACCTTTTCATCATAGATCAGTCTATTATCGTGAATCAAGGGCCCGTGAAAGGCAAATGTGCTGACCAGGGCCAGTCCCAGGATCAAGAGCAGAGCTTGTATGGTTTGGCAATGGGTCTCTCACTCTCAGTCAGAACTGGGAAGCTAAAGGGTTGACTCAGCCCTGCAATAATCCCTGGCTTTATAATCCCTTGTCAAGGTTTTGCTAAGCGGCAGAAGGAGGGAGCGCCACACAGAGAGAACAGGATTGTCTTGAGACAGGGCAGGGGCATCATCCCCTGAAAACTCAGATATGTTCAGCATACAATGACTTGTTCTTCAAGCTGCAGGTGGCTCCCAACAAAAGATTAAAAAGACATTAAAACGTCAGATATTAAAAACTTCCCTAAACAGGGCTGCCTTCAGATGCCTTCTAAACATCAGATAGTTGTTTATTTCTTTGACATCTGATGGGAGGGTGTTCCACAGGGCAAGAGGAAATTGCGGGCACACGCGCTAAACCCTGTCTGTGGTGCCTACACCTTTACCCCAAATGATGAGACAAGAGACCAGAGTATGGGTTCAAATTGGCCACAACTTTATTGAGCTTCGGAAGTGGGAAACTTGGCACAGGCCTTGGCAGGTAACCCTCTCAGCCCGCCTGGCTGAGGATATGCAGGCAGATGAGGTCCAGTGAGACGGGACTGCAAAGCGCAAACTTACACAGCATGCCCTTCCACCGACCTCATCCTGGGAGTTTGACCTACATGCTGCTGCTCTAGGGCCAGGGACTCCCGTTTTTTGCCCTTTAACGGGCCCTGCAAGCGCCACCGCATGGGGAGGGAGCATGAATGCATTCTCCCCGACTTGATGTTAGACTAAAGGATACCTTGCCAAGGCTTAAAACCCCCATAGTTGTCACAAAATGCTACGTGGAAGGCGAAACCTGCCAATGCAGGGAAAATTCCTTCCCTGTTCTGAATACAGCAACCATCTTACGACCGCAGCAGCACCCGCTTGTGATAGGAATTTTGAGGTCTTAGATATATGTTAAATGTTCATAAGTGTACCAACCAAGCACATACATAGATCAGCACAGGAAGACCGACCTGGAACCATTTTGATTCCCAAACTGTCCCAAACTGACCAAATGTTTTCTCTGCAAGGTCGAAATGTAACCTCTCTAGGCCCTTTTAACTATGGATAGGAAAATGTTGCACCCGAGCAGAGACGAAAGGAGCCAAACGACACCAAGGGGTTAAATCCAGAGAAAGAGCTTTTTTATTCTGCCATCCCGGGGAGGGCAGAGGAGCAAGTGTGATAACTCATAAAAACATGCACGAGTTCACATGCATGTGCACAGAGTATATATCCCTCTTCCAGTTCCCTCCCCTTTCTCCTCCCATGTGTCTCCTGAGCATGAACAGAAAGCTGCTGTCTTGGGACTATTTTGGACTCTTCCCAAGAAAGGGGGGTGAGAGCCTTGCGTTCAGCATGTCCAAAGATGTGTTACTTTTCTGTTGCTCTAGTGGCACAGTTCCAGGAATGAAAAGTTGCAATCTGGTTAACAAGGCCAACTAGCCTGAGAAATGAAGAAAGCATTGTTCTATTCAGCTACCTTTGTTACAGCAGAGCGGAATGTGCTTAGCTAATGCTTTTTGCGTGGCGAGTTCCCGCCCCCCACCAGGATAAATAAAGACACGAGACACCATAATTTAAGTTTAATTGGGCGAATTAGGCCACAACTTTATTGAATTCAGGAATGAGAGGCATTGGCTTAGGCATTGGTCCTAACAACTATCCGGCTCCAACCCGTTTGCTGGAGACATGGGGAAGGGTTAACACTATATCGGGGGAGTCTCCTGCCGAGGCACGTTGACTAGGAGCTCCCCCGGGTCACCGCTCTGGGGCGTGCCTTTGGCCCACACCTCCATAGGCTTCGGACAGGGCCACGCCCCCCGGAGTCCTTTAACGGACCACCCTTCACTCACTGGGGGGAGGTGATGGCATTCCTCCCCCCCCACATCCTCTTAACCCTTCTTACCAATGCCTACCGCCAATGCCGAGAAGTTGTGACGAGTTGCTACGAGGTAGGCGAAAAACCAAAAGGCTAGAAATTGCCAATTGGGAAAAATTCCTACCATGCCCCTTGCGGCGACAGACCGAAGTCCATAGCAAAGTCAAAGACCTACCTAAAGCCCACTTAAAGGGAGGGAGGGTGGGAAAACGTGAGGGCTAGCCGGCGAAAAGAGGGCGAGCCCCCTCTGCGCCGGCCCTAAATAGGGCAGGCCACACACCCCAGCCAGCTGATTGGCTGGCTGGGGGGGGCAGGCCCGGCCGGGATTCCCCTGCTCTCGCGGGGGCTGCGACCAGCCCCCGCTCACGTGGGGTGGGCGTGAAGCCAGCAACCCCACCTCCTGGGCAAGCCGGAAGTGGCTTTGTCTTAGAGGAAATGCAGTTTTAATGCTTGAGGCGAGGCCTGGCTGGGGGGGGATTCACAAACAGTTTTAGGGCTTTTGGGGGTAACCCTAACTGTTCCCCTTCAAAAGGAAAATAGAAAAGCCTCCCCATTGTCTTTTCCTTCACAAATCCTGTCTTATGGGTATATCAGTGTTTGAATAGGGTGTGAGCCTGTGACATGACCCAGGAACTAAGTATTTATCATTACAAAAGACTGTCCAGGCTCCCCAGGAAATCCAATCAAGTAACCTGCCAGACAGGAGATAAACAATGACAGGAGAAAAACAACATTCAAATTTCTGTTTAGACCGCCTTTTTTGTGATGTAGGTGTGATGTATCTGAGGGGTGGTCTTGGGTTACTCCCCTTCTGTGATGTATGTATGATGTTTCTGGGGATGGTCTTGATCTACAGTGTGGCAATTTCAAAAGTCTTTACAGTGGTGCCCCGCAAGACGAATGCCTCGCAAGACGGAAAACCCGCTAGACGAAAGGGTTTTCCGTTTTGGAGGTGCTTCGCAAAACGAATTTCCTATGGGCTTGCTTCGCAAGACGAAAATGTCTTGCGAGTTCCTGCGGTTTTTTTTCCTCCCCCCCCCCCTTTTTCCCAAGCCGCTAAGCCGCTTATCAGCTGATCCGCTAAGCCGCTTAACCGCTTATCAGCTGATCCGCTAAACCCGCTAAGCCGCTAATAGCGCTAATCCACTAAGACACTAATGGGCTTGCTTTGCAAGACGAAAAAACTGCAAGACGAAGAGACTCGCGGAACGGATTCTTTTCATCTTGCGAGGCACCACTGTATAAGGCCTTGCGCGCCATTTTTCTGGGTTCCTCCTCTCTCCTGTGGGTGAGGGGAGCACCCTGTTGCAACAGATCAATAAAGATCAAGCTTATTAGCTGCTTTGCTTCTCAATATTCTCTGGTTGGCCTCTGTTATTCTTTCCTACCAATAGGGAACCTATGTAAGGACTCTATATGGGCTCTTGGATACCCCATAAGGGAAAAGGGCAATTTTTGTTTACAACACGCTGACCTGGAACGCAAAATATTAGCCTGTAAGGAAAGACTCATTAACTTGAAGACCACTGACCTAGGATGAAATTATGGAGGCAATAAATTATTAATTTGAGGGTGGGTGGGTGGGTGATCCTGGAAGGAAGAACAGCAAAAGAGGCTTGGACAATGGAGTCGGCCTCTTTTCTTTTGGCCTTAGGTCCACCCCCGGCCGGCCGTCCATTGTCCTCCCTGGCCGAGGGTGGGTCAAAGGCCAGCCTAAGCAGGTGGGCGGTACCCGCCCAGGTGAGCCCCGCTTGGTGCCGCAAACCCCATCCACCTGTGGGGAAGGGAGGGCGGATATTACCTCTTCAGGCCTTGCACACATGGCAGTGGCAATGCCCCAAGAGCCAGTGTGGTGTAGTGGTTAAGAACGATAGTCTTGTAATCTGGGGAACCGGGTTCGCGTCTCCGCTCCTCCACATGCAGCTGCTGGGTGACCTTGGGCCAGTCACACTTCTTTGAAGTCTCTCAGCCCCACTCACCTCACAGAGTGTTTGTTGTGGGGGAGGAAGGGAAAAGGAGAATGTTAGCTGCTTTGAGACTCCTTAGGGTAGTGATAAAGTGGGATATCAAATCCAAACTCTTCTTCTTCTTCTTTATCCCTGAAGCTGGTTTGTGAGTTGGTCAAAGAACAGAAGGATCACTTGGTTAGGCAGGAAGAAAGGAACAAAGGACCAAATGCCCAAATTTACAAGATCTTTTCTAAAGAGCTGGGTCCTCTTTTTCAGGTGGCCACCCTAGAGGGAAAGGGGATGTGAATCCAGCCCCAGGTCTGTGAAGAGATTTTGAAAGGGTTAACAGTTGAGAGTCAGCTGGGAGAGGGTGGAATCAGTGGGTGCTCTTTGTGGGGTGGAGGGGAGAGTGTTCAACAAGGAAAAACTGTGAGACAGTAAAGGGTTGAGGAGTTGGAAAGGGATTATTGTATGGCAGGGAGAATTCAGTTCCTATCTTAATGCGAATGTATCTAGTTCTCCTTGGGTGACCAAAACACAGCTTGTCCTTTGAAACATATGGTTTTTGAAGTGCAGCAATCCAACCCCACAATGGGTATATTTGGGGAATGCAAATATTTCACAAAAGTCTGCAAAAAAAATGCAGATATCTGCGACAACATCATACACAGATGCAATATTTATTGGGGGGAAATGCATTGCAAAAATGTGAGAATTATTAGGAATTGCTGTTGTTTGCCATTGTTTATGGTGTGAATGTAATTTGTATTTCTCCTTAATTGCGGTGCTTTTGTACCCTGCCCTGGGACTTTCTGCTGAAGGATGTGCTATTAAATAAATGAGCAAATAAATAAATAAGTATATGCCGGAGTTTCGTTTGTTACCATGAGCCCTTTCTAGGGAATAGAAAGTGAAACAAAGAATGCTTCGTATATAAGAAGCAACAAGTCCAGATGCAGGAAGCACAGCAAGATGGATCAACAGCTGCTGACAAGAAGAGGTAAAATTCCAGTTCTGTGGGTGGATTCAATGAGGGCATGCTTTTTTCTCATGAATTGTCATGAATTCTCAATGAATTCTCACCTACCGCCTCCCCCCCCTTGCACAGTTATCATTTTTGGCAGTCCCTCAGTGGTTGAAATACAGCATGTCACATGTGATGAACATACTACTTGTGGGTGGCACTTGCTCTTAGCCTTGCTGATCGGAAGGTCAGTGTTTCGAATCCCTACAATCCTCGTTGGCCCAAGTAGGACAAATTCAGCCAGATAGACCTGGTGGTTATCTAATGTCAGATGGATTTTCCCCAAATTGATTTCTGAACTTTGAATTTTATTGTTATTCATGTTTTTATACTGTATTTTATGCTGCTTTTACAATAAGTGTTTTAAATTTGTTGTTAGCCGCCCTGAGCCCGGTTTTTGAACTGGGAAGGGCGGGGTATAAATAAAAATTTATTATTATTATTATTATTACTACTACTACTGCTACTGCTACTGCTACTGCTACTGCTGCTACTACTACTACAATGGGGTGAGCTCCCGTTGCTCTGTCCCAGCTCCTGCCAACCTAGCAGTTTGAAAGCACGCCAGTCCAAGTAGATAAATTTGTACCTCTGTGGCAGAAAGGTAAATGTCTTTTCCGTGCATTCTGGCTTCCATTACGGTGTTCCATTACGCCAGAAGCTGTTTAGTCATGCTGGCCACATGACCTGGAAAGCTGTCTGTGGACAAACACCGGCTCCCTCGGCCTAAAAACGAGATGAGCACCACAACCCCATAGTCACCTTTGATGGGACTTAACCATCCAGGGGTCCTTTACCTTTACTATATGGCAGCACGTCCAGCTCCCAAGAGATTGCGATCTACTCCCAGTATAAAAAACTGACAGTGATCTACCATTGTCGTTGGAATTCTTTAGCTTTTTTTAGAGGGGAGTGGCCAGAGTTGTTGAGCTTTGGGTGGGGAGGGGGGAGGAGTTTTTTAGTCCAGCGATCGCTAAGGATCCCGTGATCGACAAGGATCAACAGGTGATCTACCGGTTGGGCATGCCTGCTATATGATAACATCCTGTCAGTCCATAGGGTATTTTCACACATGAGACTGAGGCGCTGTAGTTCGGTCAGATTTGTAATAGGGAGATATTGCCTACGTTAACCAGAATACTGTAAAGGGAAGAGGTTCCCTTACAGTCAAATCCTGCCTGTGAAATTGCATCGTGTATGCATATATTTGTATGATCTTGCAGATAAAGCTGTTTGGCTTAAGGCTCAATCAGACTTCCACTTGTCTTGCCACTTTCTCCTCGGGAAACCCAGTCTTTACTGCTGAATCGCAGGGCAAACAGCAAACCACTTGGACCCATTCTTCCTAGACACAGGACAAGGAGAAGTGTTGACAAGCCCATATATATGCATCTTCGTCAATATATATTGTTTGTCTGTATGTCTACATGTATATATAATCCATGAGCAGATCCTAGTGCAATAAGAAGTATTTTTGCTGGTTGTCACCTATGACAGCATCAGCACCATTCTGTAGTCCTTGAAATGCTGTGTGGGTCTTCTGTTTTGCAGCTGTATTGCCCTACATTCTGATTTATAGCCATTTCAAAATTCCCTCTGTGTGGTCTTTGGCTTCCAACATTCAGTACAAATCATATAGGAAAAGGGAAGTCAAAGAGAAAACTTGTCATAATGGGGTTGTACATACTTAAATGTCATCGATTTCAATATGTGTGCATAACTGTGCATTGCCTTGTAGCCATTATTTTTAAAGTGACAATTCTTTAGAAGGTTTGAAAAGCTGTGTTGCTTAATTGTGTAATTTACTTCCAACAGGTTCATTAGTCAGAGGCAACAACCATAGGTAAGAAAGGCAATTTTGTATATTGCACTCTAAACATAGAAAGCAACTCAGTCATTCAGCTTGGACACTGAGGTCCAGCTCCGAGGGCCTTCTGGTGGTTCCCTCACTGCGAGAAGTGAGGTTACAGGGAACCAGGCAGAGGGCCTTCTGGGTAGCGGTGCTCACCCTATGGGAAACCCTCCCATCAGATGTCAAGGAGATAAATAACTATACAACCTTTAGAAGACATAGGGAAGTTTTTAATGTTTAATGTTTTACAGTGGTACCTCAGGTTAAGCACTTAATTCACTCCGGAGGTCCGTTCTTAACTGGAAACTATTCTTAACCTGAAGCACCACTTTAGCTAATGGGGCCTCCTGCTGCTGCTGCGCCGCCGGAGCACGATTTCTGTTCTCATCCTGAAGCAAAGTTCTTAACCCGAGGTACTATTTCTGGGTTAGTGGAGTCTGTAACCTGAAGCGTATGTAACCTGAAGCGTATGTAACCCAAGATACCACTGTATTATGTTTCTGTATATGCTGGGAACTGCCCAGAGTGGCTGGGGCAAGCCAGTCAGATGGGTGGGGTACTAATAATAATAATAATTTACATTGAGGAGGCAGAAGCACTAAGAACCAGCTTCAAACAAATTATGCGGTAACCAGAAGTATCAGATATTTCTCTTTGCAAATGTCCACTTCTGCAAATGTACAGTAGTTCTGATCCTTTTTGTGTCAGTTTTTGCTTTTGCCTTTTCATTGCGTTTCTTTACCTTTCTGAATCATAGAATCATAGAGTTGGAAGAGACCACAAGGGCCATCAAGTCCAACCCCCTGCCAAGCAGGAAACACCATCAGAGCACTCCTGACATATGGTTGACAAGCCTCTGCTTAAAGACCTCCAAAGAAGGAGACTCCACCACACTCCTTGGCAGCAAATTCCACTGTCAAACAGCTCTTACTGTCAGGAAGGTCTTCCTAATGTTTAGGTGGCATCTTCTTTCTTGTAGTTTGGATCCATTGCTCCGTGTCCGCTTCTCTGGAGCAGCAGAAAACAACCTTTCTCCCTCCTCTATATGACATCCTTTTATATATTTGAACATGGCTATCATATTAGAACATGCTGGTTTGAACATGGCTATTCTGCTTCTGAGTCGTGTTAGTGTCAGGGACTGGGCAGAGGAAGAATGGTACAGACCTCCCCTGCCTGACCCCTCCAGAGAAGAAGATAGTTCAGAATTACAACAGGGGTTTGAGGGATGTCACAGCTCAGAGGCAGATGAGGTGGGAAGCTGGGAAATAATGGGGGGGGTGTAAGAGGAAGCACCAAGAGGGCAACAACTGACGGGCACAGTGTCTTTAGAAAGCATTCCAGACCCTCCATCTCCCAGAATCCAGTAAGCCTTGAAAGTAGGAGAGCAAAGAGCTTAGAGGCAGAGGGCACAAAGCAGCACAAAGAAGTGATAGATGAGGGAGTGGGAGAGACAGGGGGGGGGACGGGAGATTCACTCAGGGGAACGCCATTATTCCAAGAGTCTGAGTCGTGTCTGACTGGTATTGGGATTCTTTAGTCAGGAGTTACATAGCAGGTATAAACAATAAAATTATCATCATCATCGTCATCATCTGTGCAATAGATCACCCCACTGAGTAACCTCACTGCAACATCCTGCACCAGTGACAGCTTCTGGATCAGTCCTAAGGGAAGCCTATGTAGATTAAGTACATTACAGTAAGACAATTTAGAGATTACCAGTGCATGAGTCACAGTGGCCAGGCAAGCCTGGTCCAGGAATGGTTGTAGCTGGAATAGCAGCCAAAGGTGGAAGAAGACACTTCTGGTCACTAATAGCTCCTTGGGCTTCCAAAGGCAAAAATGAATCAAGGAGCACTCCCAGGCTGCATACTAATTCATTTAGGAGGGATTCAAATCCAGGCAGTTTGGGCACATTACTCCTAGACCTGGGAACCACCCAGCCCAGGATCCAGTTTCAGCTAATTGTCCATTATTCCATCCAGACACTGGTTCGGAAAATGCATGGCCTCATGTGATTCGGATATTGATGAGTGATGAAATGTTGCCTGTCTGTTGTCTCATTTGCCCTAAAGGTGGAAACTCGAACCAGATGTGTTTTGGCAGAATTACACCCCTATAGGACGACCCGAGCGTACTCATCTCCTGTATGAAATCCAGTGGGGACGAAGTCGCAGGTACTGGAGAAACTGGTGTACAAGCAACCGCACCCACCATGCTGAAATCAACTTTTTGGAAAATGCCTGCGAGGAGATAGACCGTCGGACAACCACCCCATGCACTGTCACTTGGTTTCTAACATGGAGTCCTTGTGGTAAATGTAGTGGCCGTATAAAGCAGTTCTTGCAGGAACACCCAAATGTGACCCTGGAGATACGTGCTGCAAAATTATTCAATCATAATTACAAGTTCAATCAGAAAGGCCTCAGGGACTTGGCTAATTTTGGAGTCCGGATATACATCATGCAGCTGGTTGGTAGGTTGCAAGCTTAATTTATAATTAGCAAATGGATGGTGGACAAAAGACTAGGCAGGGGGTTGGTAAACAATACATCTTATATGGTAAACCCATTTCCCCATACCTTTTGTGTCAGGGACTGGACTGAACAGGAAGGCTGGGAAGTGTCCTCTCGGTCTGCTTGGCTCCTTTCGGGAAAAGAGGGGGAGTGGGAAGCTTCACACCCCTCTTGTCTTCAGCAGTTTCAAGTGGAGGAGGGTTGAATTACAGCTGAATGAAGAGTTGCCTAGTTACAAGATAGTAGAGGACGAGGTGGAGGGAGGGAGAGAGCAGCCAGCAGAGACCTCTCTGGAGAGTCTGGGGGTACCTCATTCTCCAAGGAGAATAAAAAAGAATGCAAAGGAGTGTGACTCTTGGGAATTTCCATAGGTACTCAGGATGTTGTTGGGGACGGAAGAGGAGGGACTCAGAGTAGGCAATGTCTCCTTTGCGTGGAGACATGGATTCTTTGTCTTGCACCCAGACGACTGAATAAAAACCATAAATACAAGGGGAGAAGGGTATTTTCCATGCCTGACATTTTGCAAGAAGGAAAATTATGAGCGATCGGGTTTTCCATGGGTTGACATTTGCTCTGATTCAGCAGTAAACAGCAGGGTAGCGTCGTTTGCTGGTGCCCGGGGCGTTCAGGCGTCGGGTGGGGAACAGAGGGTGAATGGAGCCCACCACGCCGGCCCAGTCCTCACCACCGGAACCAAGCAGGGCTGTGCTGTGCTTCCTGCCCACCTGTGCAGGGGGGAACCCAGCCAGCTGATGTGGCCCTTGGCGAGTGAATCCACTGATGCCCATGTAGAGGAACACTGGGCCTGCTTCCCTACACCTGTACCCGTGGCCACTCACCATCCAAGGGAGGAATGAGCGAGTGCTAGCCAGGCAACCATTCAGTAAGGGGGCCAGGGACATGGTGGTGAGGCCAGGCAGGACTCTGGAGCCCAGGGACCTCCAGCAGCAGGCAGGACTGACAGGCATCCCCGCATGGGGGTGCCTGGTTTGTGCCCCCTCAAAATTGTATGCTCAGGACCACGGCCTCTCTTGCCCTCCCCCCCAAATGCTACACCACTGGCAATATATAGTGTGTTTTTCAGGGGGGATTATCAGACAAAGGCAAAATTAGTATTATTATTATATTATTGTTATTTATTATTATTTATACCCTGCCCATCTGACTGGGTTTCCCCAGCCACTCTGAGCAGCTTCCAACAAAATACTAAAATACAATAACCTATTAAACATTAAAAGCTTCCTTAAACAGGGCTGCCTTCAGAAGTTTGGTAGTTAGTGTGGTGTAGTGGTTAAGAGCGGTAGTCCCATAATCTGGGGAACCGGGTTCGTGTCTCCGCTCCTCCACATGCAGCTGCTGGGTGACCTTGGGCTAGTCACACTTCTTTGAAGTCTCTCAGCCCCACTCACCTCACAGAGTGTTTGTTGTGGGGGAGGAAGGGAAAGGAGAATGTTAGCCGCTTTGAGACTCCTTAAAGGGAGTGAAAGGCGGGATATCAAATCCAAACTCCTCCTCCTCTTCCTCTTCTTCTTCTTCTTCTTCTTCTTCTTCTTCTTGTCTTTGACATCTGATGGGAGGGCGTTCCACAGGGCGGGTGCCACTACCGAGAAGGCCCTCTGCCTGGTTCCCTGTAACTTGGCTTCTCGCAGCGAGGGAACCGCCAGAAGGCCCTCGGCGCTGGACCTCAGTGTCTGGGCAGAATGATGGAGGTGGAGACGCTCCTTCAGGTATACTAGACTGAGGCTGTTTAGGGCTTTAAAGGTCAGCACCAACACTTTGAATTGTGCTCGGAAACCACTTGGACCCATGCTTTCTAGACACAGGACAAGCAGAAGGGCGGACAAGCCCTTAGACTGACAACCTATTTATTCCCTCAGATTATTTATATTGTTGGAGAACATTTGTGGCTCACCAAAGGAATGAAGAATACATTTCGCCACTGTGGGATTTCTTGACTTCGATAGAGTTTTATTCCCAACAACTGGACTCCATCCTCAGGTAAGTTCTACTTTGAAAGAGATGAGTCCAAAACGTGTGAAATTTCCTTGAGGAAACTTGCTTGCCCTTCCATACTACTATTCCCAAAATGCCTGTAGCTACTTTCGGGAGGAGGAGGAGGAAAAAGACTCCCTGGGTGTCTGGGTTGCCCGAGCTTTTGATAGAGCCGCCCCAATCCTTTTGCCTCTAACTTCTGCCCACTAGTATCCCATGAACCTTGCTCCTTTTCTCTCTGCAACAGCTGTCATAGAAGAATCCTGCTCCACCCTAAACTCTCCAACTTCATCTCTCTTCACAGGCCTTTCTGAGTTATCTCAGGTGCTGTGGACCATTACCTTCTGTCATTAGAGGATCTGTGATCTCCTTAACAGCAGAAAGTTCTGATGATTCTTTTGCCAAGCCTTAAATATCTGTGTATTTCATGGGCAAACTAGATGCTATAACAAACACATTTTTAAAGACATTGACCAACGACGGGCCCAAGACAGCACCCCACTTGTCACTTTTTTCCAGGATGACAAGGAAGCATTAATGAGCAGTCTTTGGGTTCGGCCAGCCAACCAGCTACAAATCCACCTAACAGTTACCTCGTTCAACCCACGTTTTACAAACTGCCTTGCAAGAATATAATGAGAGATTTTGTCAAAAGCCTTACTGAAATCAAGATACACTATGTCCACAGCATTCCCCTGATCCACCATGCTTGTAACTCTGTCAGAAAAAGATATGAGCGTCGTCTGGCATGACTTGTTTTTGAGAAACCCATGCTGGGTCTTAGTAATCACAGCATCCTTTTCTAAGTGCTCACAGACCAACTGCTGAATTATCTTTTCTAGGACATTTTCTGGTATCGATGTCAAGCTCAAATTTGTGAAAGACAAGGCTTTCATTGGCTACTAGGCAAGGTGTCCTTGCTCCACCTCCTGTCAGAGGCAGTATGCCTCTAAATTGCAGTTGCTGGGAAGCCAGTGTGGTGTAGTGGTTAAGAGCGGTAGACTCATAATCTGGTGAACTGGGTTCGTGTCTCCGCTCCTCCACATGCAGCTGCTGGGTGACCTTGGGCTAGTCACATTTCTCTGAAGTCTCTCAGCCCCACTCACCTCACAGAGTGTTTGTTGTGGGGGAGGAAAGGAAAGGAGAATGTTAGCCGCTTTGAGACTCCTTCGGGTAGTGATAAAGCGGGATATCAAATCCAAACTCTTCTGCTTTCCTGAGTCCCATCTGGTTGGCCACTGTGAGAACAGGATGCCGGACTGGATCGGCCTTTGGCCTGATCCAGCACAGCTCTTCTAATGTGCTCATGAAGGTAACCTCTGAAAATCACTGTTAGGCACAATTAACTTCCCTTTCAAGGGTAAGAGCAACTGCAGGGTGTGGAATGGGTTCTTCAGATCACAGCAGGGCAGTAGGATAAAACCTCCCCTACCTGCTTGCCTCCAGTAGTCCCAATTAAAATTGCCCCCAGGCCTGCTATTAATTTTAAAATTGATACGATTTAAAATAATGTGTTTAGCATCTTGTTTGTCCACTTGTGTCGTCAAATGATTGTTATGCTTTTTAATAAGTTAGGAGTTATTTTTATGATGTATGCACTTAAGTCCTGATTTTTCTGTGTCAAACAGTGTTCCTCCAGTCAAACTTCTAAAAATAAACTTTACTACTTTTCTTATGAACTGTGTGACAGACAGGGCTGTCTTAAGCATATCTGGCACCGTGGGGCAAAGCTCCCTCCGCCCCCGCCCTGGTTTCCCGGAGTTTTTTTAGGGAGGACAGCACTGCTGGCGGGGCTGGAGGAGGAGGGCAGTGGCTGGAGGGCGGCTCCTCCGGTGGGGAAGAGGCGGAGGCTGGACATGGCGCCTCCCGGCTCAGCTGGCCACTTCGTGTCACGGTGACCATGGCAGATGGAGGCTCCAGGCGCGGTGCTGCTTTGGCACGGCATGGCGGAGGTGGGCGAGGGTGGCGAGCTGATGCCAAGAGGTGCCACGTCCAGCCTCCACCTCTTCCCTGGCACCCTTCAGAACTTGGCGCCCCAGCGCCCCATGCCACTAGCCTCTATGGTGACAGACACCCTTGCTGAACTGTGGCTTGGTTCGCAAGCTTCAGCAAAATGTAGGATCAATGATATGGACTTTGTACCATAGCAGTACAAAGAGGCACAAAACAAGGGTGCCCACTGTCTCGCTTCCTATTCATCCTAGCAATCCGAATCCGGGCAGCCCCTGACATCAAGAGAGTGATAATAAAAGGCAAAACCTATAAATCAGGGCTCTTTGCAGATGACCTGATGGTCACAACACCAGACCTCACAAACACAGCAATCACACAACACATTCAGAATGGTGTTGGGCTTACAAATAAAATGCAAAGTCCCAGGCTATGTGTTTCAACACCCCACCTCATATACAAAAAGAATTTTCCAACATCAGAAAGATAAAACTCTGCCATACCAAATTCAGACACTTTGGGGCACAAATAACCAGAAACCTCAACAAACTATACCTCCACAACTAGAACCTCCTGTGGCAACAAATTAACAATGGCCGGAGGAGATGGAACAATACTAACTTCACTCTCTCGGATGAAATAGCCATGATCAAAATGATCACTCTTCCAAAACTGACCTGCCCTATTCCAAACCCTTCCAATCTGGATTCCACCAACCCAACTCCACAAATGGCAGAAAAGAACACACTCGTTGATTTTAAAGAGCTGGACATGGCTGCCTGCAGCTCTGTAGCTGGCTGTTGGTTCTCCATCCCATGACTGCCATGCGGCAGCTGCCTTAACAGAATCCTTGTGGAGACACCGATTCCATTTAAAAATACTAATTTGCCTTAACATTCAAAAGCAAAAACCATCTCTAATAATAATAATAATAATAATAATAATAATAATAATAATAATAAATTTTATTTATATCCCGTCCTCCCCAGCTGGGCCGGGCTCAGGGCGGCTAACAACAATCAAATAAACAGTCAAATAATTACACATTCTAAAAATATTTCATTATAAAAATTAATTAAAATCATATTGATGGCAACCGATTAAGCAAAATTCTGTGCAGGTTGCCAGAGGAGGGAGTCAGGCTGCGCCCTGACCAAAGGCCTGGCGGAACAACTCTGTCTTGCAGGCCCTGCGGAAAGATGTCAGGTCCCGCAGGGCCCTAGTCTCTTGTGACAGAGCATTCCACCAGATTGGAGCCGCAGCCGAGAAGGCCCTGGCTCTAGTTGAGGCCAGCCTAACCTCTCTGAGGCCTGGGACCTTGAGGATGTTATTATTTGCAGACCGTAGGTTTCTCTGTGGGGCATACCAGGAGAGGCGGTCCCGTAGGTACGAGGGTCCTAGGCCGTATAGGGCTTTAAAGGTTAAAACCAGCACCTTAAACCTGATCCTGTACTCCACCGGGAGCCAGTGCAGCTGTTATAGTACCGGGTGAATGTGATCTCGCAGCGAAGACCCCATAAGGAGTCTCGCCGCGGCATTCTGCACCCGCTGGAGTTTCTGGGTCAGTCTCAAGGGCAGCCCCACGTAGAGCGAGTTACAATAATCCAGTCTGGAGGTGACCGTTGCATGGATCACAGTGGCTAGGTCAGGGCGAGAGAGATAAGGGGCCAACTGCTTAGCTTGGCGGAGATGGAAAAATGCCGCCTTTGTTATAGCTGTAATCTGCGACTCCATAGAGAGGGAGGTATCGAAGATTACACCCAAACTCTTAACGGACGGTGCTGGCACTAATTGCACCCCCGCAAGAGATGGGAGTTGCCCCCCTCAATCCCATATCGTCCCACCCCAGCCAGAGGACCTCTGTCTTCGAAGGATTTAACTTCAACCGGCTCCCACGTAACCACCCAGCCACAGCTTCCAGACATCTGGTCAGTGTGTCTGGGGCCGAGTCAGGATGGCCATCCATCAACAGATAGAGTTGGGTGTCATCAGCATACTGATGGCAACCCAGCCCAAAACTCTGGACAAGCTGGGCGAGGGGGCGCATAAAGATGTTAAAAAGCATTGGGGAGAGAATCGCACCCTGAGGCACTCCACACACCAAGGAGTGGCGCGATGACAATTCCCCCCAAGCGCCACCCTCTGTCCCCGATCAGAGAGAAACGAGTGCAGCCATTGAAGGACTGTGCCCTGGATCCCTACGTCGGCAAGGCGGTGGTCCAGGAGTTCGTGATCGACCATGTCAAAGGCTGCTGACAGATCTAGAAGAATCAGCAGCCCCGACCCGCCTCGATCCAGCTGCCTGCGGAGATCATCTGTTAGGGCGACCAGAGCCATCTCGGTCCCATGACCAGCACGGAAGCCGGACTGGAATGGATCCAAAGCAGATGTTTCATCCAGAAACCTACCAAGCTGTTCAGCAACCGCTCTCTCAATCACCTTACCCAGGAATGGAAGATTCAAGACCGGGCGGTAATTGGATAGATCTAAGGGATCTAATGATGTTTTCTTTAAGAGCGGACGCACCACCGCCTCCTTCAGTTCCCCTGGGAATATCCTGGTGCCAAGGGACAAATTGATGATATCCCCCAGGGGGCCCGCACCTCGTCTGGACACTCTCTAATCAGCCATGACGGGCACGGGTCAAGAGGACAGGTGGTGGGCTTTCCAGCTTGGAGGAATCTGTCCACATCGGCTGGAGATATCCGGTCAAAGTGGTCCAATACTGGACCCGAGGACAGTCGAGGGGCCTCCAGTTCCTTTATTGTATCCAAATTGGCAGGGAGGTCATGGCAGAGCAACAGGACCTTCTCCGCAAAAAAGCTCACAAATGCCTCACAGCTGTGTGTCAGATTGTTATTTAAATTTGGCTGTCCTTCAAGGGACGTTAAAGACCGAATTATACTAAATAATTGTGCCGGGCGAGAGCTAGCGGATGCAATGGAGGCCAAGAAGTAAGACTTCTTAGCGGCCTTCACTGCCATCTCATAGGTTTTCATAAAAACCCTATAAGATGATCTTGAGGCTCCGTCACGGGCACCCCGCCATACTCGCTCTAGCCGTCTGAGGTCCCGCTGATAATACAGCTTCAAGTTAAAGAATGAAAGTGTGCTGCTCTGTTAAAATGCCACTTCCTGTTGGACTGCCATCATGGGATTGTGGGCAGGTTGGAGGTGGCAATTTATTGTTTCCCCCTCTACATTGGGTGGTCGTTGCATAGGGCAGTGTTTCCCAACCTTGGGCCTCCAGCTGTTTTTGAACTACAATTCCCATCATCCCTGACCACTGGTCTTGCTGGCTAGGGATGATGGGAGTTGTAGTCCAAAAACAGCTGGAGGCCCAAGGTTGGGAAACACTGGCATAGGGGGTGGTTCTACTCTCATGAGATACCTCTAACTCTGCCCAGTTTGGGTATCTGCTCTGGGGTAGCAGATGTGTAGCTTTCCACCAGCACATCTGAGCAGTTGTACTGGTTCACGTTGTGGCAGTGGTACTTCTGGCAGTGGTACATCTGGCATCGCACCAGCATAGTGGGGCTCCTGCCATAAATGCTCAGCACCTTTTCCAGAAACACTCTTTTTTATTTCAGAAAATAATCATCATTACAAGCACTATAATTGGACAAACTCTTCAATAATGTATCTTCGTTATACACAGCAATTTTCATAGTGACTGTATGGCAAAGCTATTTCGAACCCATATTATTCTCTTTATAACCTGGCCCATCCAAGTAAATAATACATCTTTGAAAGTAGGAAGCATAGCAAACCCTGCTCCCCATCAGAATCAGTGTCTGAAAATTCCAGAGCTTCCCTGTGAGCTTAAAAGACTTCAAAAATTGGAAAACTTGCATGCATCAAAACAAACTTTCCAGCTCTTTTCCTATATTCCAAATGCATCTGCCTGTTTTCAAGCACTCGGCTTCTTTCAGCCAATTCAGAAGGTGGAGTGAGGCAAGTGAGAAGAGGTGCCAGAGGTTATATTGTACAGAGGCTCTGGATTCAGGGTTCAACGTACCTGGGAAATTGTAGTCTGCATTCTACAACATTGGAAAGCACTTTCTCAACGTGAAGCCCTAAGCTTTTTCCTGCATAGGAACCCAGTCAAATGGCACAGCAATGCTATCATTACTGCAGTCATACCTCGGCTCCCGAATGCCTTGGCAGTCGAACATTCACGCTGCTGAACGATCAAAACCGAGAAGTGAGTGTTCCAGTTTTCTAACATTCTTTTGGAAGCCTGATGGGGCTTCTGTGGCTTCCGATTAGCTGCAGGAGCTTCCTGAAGCCAATCAGAAGCCACGCTTTGGTTTCCGAACATTTCAGAAGTCAAACGGACTTCCAGAATTCAGAAGTACAACTGTACTACATCTCAAACAGCAGTATGAATTGGCTCTCAAAATACTTTAAAACACTGCTTTAAAAAGTGATGCATTCACTGTTCTGAAAGAGGAAGTAGTTTATAAAGCCTTAAGTATTTAATAACTCATACATAAGAGAACATCTGAACCCCCTAAGCCCGTTTCTATACTAGGTTGGGAGGGAGGCATGGGGGGGTCCCCTATTGGTCCAGCCCACCCCCAAACCGTCACATCTCTGTGACCTAGATGTGTTCTGCCATTTGCTTCTACCAGCTGCTTTTAGTAAAGGTAAAGGGACCCCTGACCATTAGGTCCAGTTGTGACCGACTCTGGGGTTGCGGCGCTCATCTCGCTTTATTGGCCGAGGGAGCCAGCGTACAGCTTCCAGGTCATGTGGCCAGCATGACTAAGCCACTACTGGCGAACCAGAGCAGTGCACGGAAATGCCGTTTACCTTCCCTCTGGAGTGGTACCTATTTATCTACTTGCACTTTTACATGCTTTCAAACTGCTAGGTTGGGAGGAGCAGGGACCGAGCAACGGGAGCTCACCCCGTCGTGGGGATTTGAACCACCGACCTTCTGATCAGCAAGTCCTAGGCTCTGTGGTTTAACCCACAGTGCCACTCGCATCCCTACCAACTGTTTTTAGAAATAGATTAATTGCTTAAGGATGAGGGACGAAGGTTGAACGGGGTGACCTAATTTATTCCAGGTCATCACATGATTCTAATGTGTTCAGACAATTTTTCCGAACAGTGGGGACCATTATGAAACTGGGAACTGGTCATACATACATTACAGAGATGTCTCACTGGCAGGAGGGGGAAGGCTCATTAACTTTCCGTCCTAAATCTGAACCCTAGTCGCACCTGGGATGTATTTGAAATTGACTAGACCAGTTTGTTAGTAACTTCTGGTCTAGTCAATCTCACTTGTCGTGAGCATTATCCAATAGGCACCTGTAACACGTACCTATTGCAAATTTGCTGTTTTCTCTTCTGGGGATATATAGCAACTCTTTCAAGACACTACAGTGGTACCTCAGGTTACATACACTTCAGGTTACAGACTCTGCTAACCCAGAAATAGTACCTCGGGTTAAGAACTTTGCTTCAGGTTGAGAACAGAAATCATGCTCCGGTGGCATGGCAGCAGCGGGAGGCCCCATTACCTCAGGTTAAGAACAGTTTCAGCTTAAGAATGGACCTCCAGAACAAATTAAGTTCTTAACCCAAGGTACCACTGTATATGTGCTGTTGTAGACACCTGCAAAACTTGTCTGATCAGAGAACAATCTGGGGTCCAAAAAAGAAAAAGAAAAAAGAACTTGTATACTGTAGTCAATTATGGCAATAGCACCTCTGCACATGTGTGGAAAGCTGCCTGTTTCCTCCCTTAACTGCAGGGGGGGAAGCTGCTTCAGAGGGTTGGCAGAACCTCCATGGAGCAACACATGAGGCTGCATGTTAGGAGGTGGAGGAACTGCAAGCAGGAGGGGGGAATCAGTGGGCTCCCCACATACATGAAGAAGTTGTTATGTAATGAAGTTCTCACCCTGGGCCAGCAGGGGGATACTGTAGATAGTTTTCACTCAGGTCCACATATGCAAATAAGGGATTGAAAGTGACGTTACAGAAAGTGGTTACTGTTGCGTTGTAGTGGAGCTCTATATAAGCAGGTTGGCTGAACCCTTCAGTTCAGTTCTGTTCTGGCCTGTGAATAAACAAGAGCTGTTTGAAGAATCGCTGTGTTGTCTGATATGGTCACCCACAACTTAACAGAAGTGCTATTCTTTAAAAGTTTAAAAGGTGCAAGGCGATAGGATAATATTATATTAAGGATGGAATAACAAATAAAATGAGTAATACAACAATAACAAAAATAATAGTAGGCAAAGAAGATCGCACACGGGTGAAGTACTGGGTTGTGGGGGAGGGAGATGAAGGGATTAATTGAAATTGTTAAAGATTGGAATAGGATTTAAGAGATTTAAATTTCCATAAAGATTCTATAAGGAAAGCAGGAAGCAGCAAGAAATATCAAGTAAAGGTATTGGAAAGGAGATCAGTGTAAATTAAAACATGAGACTTATGGTTTTGCTATATATGATTTTATTTTGGAGTTGTCTGTTGTAAAGAATGTATATTATGTGAATAAAATAATAAAAAATTAGAAAAAGAAGAAGTGCTTTTGTGCTTGCACACAGTGATCTTTGGAGCCAAGACATCATCTGTACATGACCTAACAAAGCAGACTCAAAACAATGACCTAAGATGGGAGATCTCCTGCAGCAATTGTGCTGTTCATCTGGGTTTGCTTCACGTCTCGGATGCAAAGCTAGTGGTGGTCTTTCTTTGTGCTCTCTGTGGGAAGAAATACGAAGAAAATAAGGCACCATATCTTAAGCCTTTGTGGGTCCAGGCCAGCCACCCATCTTGATATGGAGGAAGGGGAGTTCTCCTTGCACCAGTGGATGCCTGCACGATTCCACCTAAAGCTCACCAGCGGCCATTATGAGCATTATGTGACTCTCCTTTCTGACATGTGCCCAAGCCTCGTTCCATCCTTACCTGTGCTGCAGGGAGGGTTATATTCAACTTCCGCACTGTCTTCTGTGTATGAGAGAGAACAATTCATGAGACAGAGATCGAGCAAATCCCAGAGCAAATCTCTCTCCACCCCCATCAGCAGGAAGTCAGGGTCCTCCAAAGGTTT